GTTCTTGAGTAGGTCGTAGCGCAACAAATCACAGCACATCTAGATAATCTTCATGAACCTCTACAATTTGCATATAGGTCACAGTATAGAGACAGATCTACTGAAAATAAAATCGCGATCGGACATTAACACTTCTTGAGATAGCAACTGTGGAATATTATTGGTCTTGTTAGAGTTAAAGGAGGAGCTAAATCGGTAATATTTGGGACCCAGAAATTGACCCAAATGTGTCGCAACGCATATAATAATACAATCTGATTGTATATAAACTGATTTACATTCAATCAGTTATGTCCAGCGAAATACGGCATGCGTCTCAACCAAGTGCCAATTTATAGCGCCTGGTTATCCCAGCCTATTGCGCATGCTCTTCAGATAAGATATGGCTTCACCGTTTGACATGAGTTGTTGAATATATCTAGCCTCGTTCGTTCTGGTCACCTGTTAGAAGTGACGCTGAAACGCACTATGGTACACGATTCGTGTACCAATGGTAAAATGTTTATTTTGTTATAAATATTGGATATCAGAAGCCTACCTTTTCCCGGTAAGATTACAACATCAATTTTGATTTGAATTGACAAATAATTCGTGTTTTTAATGTGTAAGACTTTGGATGATATTGAATTAGAGACTTAGCTACTTTAGGTGCAGCGTTCGACACTATAGGCCACTAAATACTTATTAGCAGACTAGAAAATCTGGTCGATATCACAGGAAATGTGCTATTTGGCTTCAATCTTACCTTCAAAACAGGAGTCAGCAAATAATAATAGGGGAACGTTCTCAGACCCAGTTTCGTTGTCCATTGGAGTTCCCCAAGGATCAGCTCTGGGTCCTTATTATTTTTGCTATAACTGCTTCCACTTGGACCTCTTAACCGAAGAAAAAATGTTCAATGCTCTTGATACTCAGTTGTATTGCTCGTTTGGTATTTCTAACCCTGGATCATTGCGAGAATCAATACATAAAATAGAAACATGTTTGACTGATATTCGCCTATGGATGTCTGTCAACAAACTTAAAGTAAATGATGAAAAAACTGAATTTTTGTTTATGTATCCTAAATCTCAGATAAAAAAAACACATTAGAGAAATTCCTGGTTTAAAAGTCGGAAACTGCACCATCTATCTAACAAAGGAAACTAAAAATCTGGGATATATGATGGATGAAATAATGTCATCCTCTCCGCAAATCAACCAGATAATAAGAAAGGTTTAGTGACAACATTTGCGCAAAAGTAGTGTCATCGCTAGTGCTATCTCACCTGAATTATGCAACCGGACTGCTAGCAGGAGCACCAAAATATTGTTTAAAACATCACGAGGTTTCTAAAAATAATGCAGCTCGTTTAGTCACTCGATCTAAAAAATCAGATCACATCACCAATAAACTTATACAACTCTATTGGTTGTTGAAGACAGAATTGACTATAAAATTCTGACAACTATCCATAAAGCCATGTTTTCTGTCACTGCACTGATTTCGTTTCCCAGTTATTATAAATTGTATGGAAAATACCCTTTACCAGTTCGTGGTGCATATTTATGGAATGAGCTTCCCGACAGATGCACACGACATCTCTATTTTCAAGTTTTAAGTCAATTTTTAACTTCTGGTTTCTCTTATTATTGTTCAATGTACCTATTTATAACACTGTCACAATTTTTTTCTCATTTGTAATTTGTATGCTTGATAACGACCAGTGAATTCTTGTCGAAACGTCGTGTGTATATAATATAGTGATTGTTATCCATAGAACTGTGTTGTGTTATATTATGTTCAATCGCCAAATGCCATTCACGGATTATAAAGACGCATCTGTTTAGCAAATATTTGTGAAAGAACAGTAGTTGAACTCACTGTGAAGCGCTTAGAAATGACCAGCGGACATAACTGAGCGCGATATAAGACGATTTCTTTCTTCTTCTTCTTATTATTATTATTGTTATTATCAGACAGAAGTCTTTACTTAGCCCCATTAGAAAAAGACTATTGGTGAATAGAAAGTATCCACCAAGTTTCACACCTCTAACACAAATAGAATCGAAGTTGTCGAGCACCAAAGTCTTGCAGTAATTCAAGTTGCTTATTGCTCTGCTTACACTTAACAGTTTCACCCCGTTCACTCAAATATAATCGAAGATATCGAGCTCTATATCTTCAATGACAATATTTCGGAAGCTCGGAAAGCTTTCAGAAAAGCTGAAAGACAATTTATTTCAAGTGACCGTCTTGAGATTGACCAAGACATTCTTAACTCCGAGAAGAAGAAATACAGTGAACTTGTTGAAAACACTAAAGTTGAACACCACAAAGATCAGATTGAAAATGCTGACTCAAAGGGTCTTTTCAAGATTGTTGATGATATGATTGGTCAGAAAACTGCTGTGAATGATGTCATCCCTGAATCGGCAACTTCAAAGCAAGCCGCAGCTGACATGCTGTCCACATTTTTCATAGAAAAGGTAGATAAGTTATGCGAAAAGTTCACTTCCTCTGTGCCTGTCCAGCAAGAGAAGACTTGTACATCCACACTTGACACTTTTGAATCAGTTTCTGTAGACGAGGTAAAGAAGTTGATCATGAACGCCCCAAACAAGTCTTGTGGACTTGACCCGGCTCCTACACAACTAGTAAAGAAACATGTGGACTGCATTGCCCCCTACATTACTGCTCTCATAAATGAATCACTTAAAACTGGGGAAGTACCCAACTCCTTTAAGACCACCCTGGTCCGTCCTCTATTGAAGAAACCTGGACTTGAACCAATCTTGAAAAACTTTCGACCCGTTTCCAACCTACCGACCGTTCATGTTCAAAATACTTGAAAAAGTTGTGATGAAACGTTTACATAAATATCTATCTGATAACTCATTATACACCGATAGACAATCTGCCTACCGGCCCAATCATAGCTGCGAAACAGTTCTTCTTCATATGAACAATGATATTACCACTGCTCTTGATTCTAGAAGTCATGTATTGCTCTCTCTACTCGATTTGAGTGCTGCATTCGACACCCTAGATCATGATACATTGTTGAGTAGACTGACGAATCGCTTCGGCCTGTCTGGGACAGTTTTGAACTGGTTTACGTCATACCTGAGTGGTAGGACCCAATCTGTTGTCGTTAATGATGATAATTTTTCTTCGAAAGAAGTATTGATACGTGGTGCTCCCCAGGGTACCGTTTTGGGCCCGGCCTTGTTTACGTTGTATACCCCTCCCATTGAAGAGATCATCACCAAGCACAATCTAAATGCCATGATCTATGCAGATGACAGTCAGCTCTATTCAGTTCAATCGTTAGAGACTTGCATTGATGAAATCAGAGCCTGGATGTTTGACAACAAACTTGTTTTGAATGACTCCAAAACCGAAGTAATTCATTTCCAGTCACGTTTTGGTGACTCCGTTCCCAGTCAGTCTGTTCGAGTTGGTAACGAGCCTATTTCACCATCTAACAGTGTTCGTAATCTTGGTGTAGTTTTCGATTCCGACTGTTCACTAGAAAGTTTCATAAAGCAAACTTGTCAGAGTGTGTCTTTTGCACTATTCAAGATCGGTCGCTGCGAGATTGGTTACTAGAACCAGAAAACGCGAGTCTATCTCACCCGTTTTGTTCAGATTACATTGGCTCTCAGTAGTTGGAAGTATTGAGTTCAAAGTGTTACTGACTATATTTAAGATTGTGAACGATATGGCACCGTCATATCTCTGCAAACTCGTCGACATCAGGCGCCCACAAAAAGTCACCCGTTTTACCCAAGCACCATCACTTGCCTACCCCAAAGGTCGAGCGAACAATAAATTTTACGGTGACCGAATCTTTTCACGATATGCCCCTATATTATGGAATAAACTGCCATGCGAAATTAGAGCCGTGATGAACATTGAAACTTTCAAAAAACTAATCAAAACTCTTCTTTTCCAACGCCATTTCGGATATTAACGCGCGTAGCTTATTGTAATTTTATTGAAGTTTTTATCTTATAGTTACTCTTTTACATATCTTATTACAGTTTTACTTAAATTTCCTCTTATGTAGTTTTATTATCTGTAACAATCTCCTTTTAATTTTTATATTTGGTAAAGCGCGTAGCTTATTGCAATTTTACTGAAGTTTTCCTCTTATGTAGTTTTATTATCTGTAAAAATCTTATTTTAAATATATATATATTTTTTTTTTTTGTAAAGCGCGTTGAAAATGTGCCATGCTTTTTACTGTGTAAATTGTTATGTTTTAGAATGCGCTATATAAGAATGAATCATATTATTATTATTATTATCTAAATTCAAATTGCCTATTGCTCCAATTAAGCTGAACAGAACATGTTCATGTTCGAACTTATTCAACGTATTGATTTAATAAATCTATAGACCAAATTTTTATCATTCTCACTTAATTAGAATTAAAGTTATCGTCTCCCAAAGCACCAATCAATCATATCGCTTGACCTAAGCAGAGTGTGATCGATCATCTTTGGTCTACATCAAGGCATTCACTTCATAATTATATACACCATGTTTAAACATTCTACCTCAATTAGAAGAGGGAGCTCTGCACACAAACCAAACACAACCGAAAACACAAACCTACCGTCCCGACAAAAACTACACGGACATTGCAAGCAATAAACAACAAACATCAAATCACATGAATGGATTCAGTCGCCATATGTATTGTTTAATAGATTGTCAAACCATTAAAATACAACGATAGGAAACCATTCTAGATGATACAGCTCCTACGGATTTTGCGATGTGATCCCCGTTGTCAGTGACACATGATGGAGAGTCTGGCAAGGACAGTATATAATCGTGCATGTAAACTAAACCTTAACGGTTGGAATTCAAAGTAAGAGTATAGGCAGTAGCACCAGGGTCCGGGAAAAATTTCCCGTATGCCGCATTGTACGGCGTGCAGCATTAAACCCTATTTTATTTCTAAGCACGGGTGATTCTTGATAGCCATTTAATTATATTTTGTCCGCAGTTGTAACTTTGGTAGGAGGATCCAATTCTATGGAAGGACGAGTGATGGTATGGCACAACGGCTCATTTGGAAGAGTTTGTCCTGATGGTTTTGGACAGAAAGAAGCTCATGTAGTGTGTCGTCAATTAGGATTTAACAAGTATGAATCTCCAATGTCTTCCAATTCTATATAAAAGATAACGATAATTTTACCACTACATCTTTTAATTAAATTCACCCCATTCAATTCGTTACTTACATATATTTTGAACTGATTTTTTTATATGTTGGTTTGTTATATCGGTCAAAAACCAGTAGATAAAACCAATGTGGGATATAACTGATTTCGTGTTCAACAGTCGACAGATAAAAACATTTCTACTCAATCCATTGTATGTATTATCCTTCTATATAATCTTTCCTGATATTAAAGATACATTATGGGAGATTCGATAACGAGTTGACAGTTATCACTATAATAGTTAAAAACTAGATAATATAAAGGCAATTTGCTGAAAATTTCATTTAAATTGATCCACTATGCACCGAGAACTAAGCCCTTGAAATTTCCGCCTAGCCTCGATCATCATTATTACAGTCAGTACAAGCAGCATAGTCTCGATTATCCATTTAATTGTTAAATCGTAAAGGAAAGTAATGCAGTAAATCTAGAGTTGATTATGGTTTAGATAGGTTAATTAATGTCTAATTAATAATTGAGATAGCATTTCAGGCCTAAAGAAAGACCTGCAATAGACAGATTTAGCTCTTGCATAATGTATGTTTAATGTTAATATTAAAATCAACATTTTGTTTATAATCTTTCTATTTAGCAATGAAGGCGTTGATCCTGATATTAATGTTGATTTTGGTAAAGGGTCAAGTCCCATTCTGGTGTCGAATATTAATTGTAAAGGAAATGAGTCATCTTTATCCAACTGCAAACATCCAGATTTTAGAATCGGAGAATGCAGTGGTGCACCTGATGCCTCGGTCGTTTGTAAATGTAAGTCTATAGAAACAGTAACCAGTCATTCTTACAGGACATATATTAACAATATGTTTGTATATCGGTCCTTTAATTTAAACTAAAGATATTACAAGACTCGTGGTAAAGTTAGATTGATCACTACATACACATGAAGTTGATGACCTTGTTCAGAAAAAATAATTAAACGATCGAGACAATTTGTTAATAGCCCCTGCATTTTAACATACACGAAAGGGGTTTTAGTTTATAATTTTTGATATCTATGATCGTCCTTCGTCATTTAGTAACGTGGCCTATATGAAGTCCAGATTTCAATCTTAACGAATCTGTTTGGATAAGATGAAAAAACGGAGAGATCAAATAACATACATGATACATTGTACATTAATCAGTCAGTAGTTACACACCTGGGTTATGTGTAGGTATTCCTAGTTTGTGTCGAGTTATGTATCCGTATGATAGACGATATTGACTTTCAGACTTATTTACAAAGGGAAATTATAAAGTTACCGTAGAAAAGTTTTGAAAAAAATCATGTTCAAGTAAGAATTAATATTGGAATAACCCATTTGTGTTTTCCTTAGCCCTCCGTCGATATTTTTAGTTAGATTTTGGCAATATGTTCTCTGACAGTCAGTCAACCGGTTATTTCAGTTGTTCCGTTGCGACTAGTAAATGGATCAGGATCACACGAAGGAAGAGTTGAGGTGTTTGATAGAAGAAAATGGAAAACAGTTTGTGACGTGTGGTGGGACGATAAAGAAGCATCTGTTGTTTGTAGACAACTAGGATATAGTGGGTAAATATACGACGCGGAATAATATATACACTTTATACAATAAAACAATCTTAATACAGTAACTGGTGCTGTACTTGAATTAAAATATTGCCATATTTAGCTGTAATAAATGTTATTGTATTTGTGCGAATTAGTACACGAATATATAGTTATGTATTAATTCAGTGTAGTTTTGTTTGCATTGAATAGTTGAACGTATAATAATATTTTTAGGACAGGAGCAATAAGTAAAGGCCGCGCCTACTTTGGAGAGGGACGTGGGAATATAGTAATCGGGTTAGGCTGTAATGGACGTGAAGAGTATTTAACTGACTGTAAATATAGTTCTGTTGGCGGGTGTTCTCATACTAGAGACGTGTCTGTAATTTGTAATGGTAAGATTATATTAAAGTATAGTTTATAATAATGATTCACATTTCGGTGATCCATATCCAAGGCATTGCTTCAATTAATTTACACGTTATGTACGAAATAGCTTCTTCTCACATTTTCTAGAATATCTGCGCAAACTTCTTATATAGGTAACAAACTGTAGTAGTGTATTGTTGTATGTAAATATAGGTAACAAACTGTAGTAGTATACTGGTGTATGTAAATATAGGTAACAAACTGTAGTAGTATACTGTTGTATGTAAATATAGGTAACAAACTGTAGTAGTATACTGTTGTATGTAAATAGTTTAAGATATCTATACTAATCTCCGCATATTGGGTACCGATCTCATCAATTGAATAGCTATGTGACTGGCTAATAAATATTTCAACGACTACTCAGTTTTACGTATTCAGGGCGGTTTCTGGGAAATAGTTCATCGCGATTTTCCGCGTGGTTTCTCCTTGTCAGTGGTGTAGGACGGGGGACCTGAAAAGGACAGCTTGTTTATTCGGTTCGAATGATACACTAAATCGACGTCCCGTGTACACATTGGCGTGCACGTAAAAGATCAGTTGGCAGTTGGAATTCGATATAAGAGTAGGCCAGAGTGCCGCTGTCCGGGCAAAATTCACTCATAGCATACTGTATGGCGTGCGCCCGTCTCCATTAGCCCAGTCGAAGCATAAATTAATTATAAGTTAGGATTATATATATATAATGGGTATCATTGAATTTAGTGAAGACAATCACCTAATGGATATCTACACCAAGTTTGAACATTCGACACCAAGTTTGAACATTCTACACCAAGTCTGAACATTCTACACCAAGTCTGAACATTTTACCTCGATTAATAGCCGGGTTCTTATGTTCTAAATTCTTGACCAATCCAATCGCTTACATTATCCTAAATTTGACCAGCCAATCACATATCGCCACTTTGCCTAACCAGTCAAGGTATTGATGAAATGAAACTATAATCTGAGGCTTCAGTCTCAAGCAATACAATTGCTTATCTGTGCTTAAAGATGCATTATGTAAGATTTAGATAAAGAGCTGGACGTTATTGCTATAATAGTTCAAAAATAAATAATGAAAAATGAATATATTGAAAATGTCATTCAAATTACTTAATTCTGAGCAAGTATGACTTGGTCTCGATGTTTAATCTATATATATATTTGTGACTGTCGTTTGTCTGTCTGTCTGTCTGTTCGGGGTTGGCGGCTACACTAGGTCTGCCCCGAGTCTGAAATTTGGGATATAGGGGAAGCTCGGACCGGGGAGTAACATAGGCCAGGTGGCGTAAGTCTACCACTTCCGGTTTCGGAGCTATGACCCCCGAGCGAAGCCAATCTGTTCGGGGTTGGCGGCTACACTAGGTCTGCCCCGAGTCTGAAATTTGGGATATAGGGGTAGCTCGGACCGGGGAGTTACACAGGCCAGGTGGCGTTAGTCTACCACTTCCGGTTTCGGAGTTATGACCCCCGAGCGAAGTCTGTCGGAGTTGGCGGCTACATCTGCCCCGAGTCTGAAATTTGGGGTATAGGGGTAGCTCGGACAGGGGAGTAACATAGGCCAGGTGGCGTTAGTCTACCACTTCCGGTTTCGGAGTTATGACCCCCGAGCGAAGAAGGTCTGTTCGGGGTTGGCGGCTACACTAGGTCTGCCCCGAGTCTGAAATTTGGGGTAAAGGGGTAGCTCCGACCGGGGAGTAACATAGGCCAGGTGATGTTAGTCTACCACTTCCGGTTTCGGAGTTATGACCCCCGAGCGAAGCCGGTCTGTTCCTGGTTGGCGGCTACACTAGGTCTGCCCCGAGTCTGAATTTGGGGTATAGGGGTACCTCGGACCGGGGAATAACATAGGCCAGGTGGCGTTAGTCTACCACTTCCGGTTTCGGAGTTATGACCCCCGAGCGAAGCCGGTCTGTTCGGGGTTGGCGGCTACACTAGGTCTGCCCCGAGTCTGAATTTGGGGTATAGGGGTACCTCGGACCGGGGAATAACATAGGCCAGGTGGCGTTAGTCTACCACTTCCGGTTTCGGAGTTATGACCCCCGAGCGAAGCCGGTCTGTTCGGGGTTGGCGGCTACACTAGGTCTGCCCCGAGTCTGAAATTTGGGGTATAGGGGTAGCTCGGACCGGGGAGTAACATAGGCCAGGTGGCGTTAGTCTACCACTTCCGGCTTTGGAGTTATGACTCCCGAGCGAAGCCGGGTATCCTGCTAGTTCCATATAAATCTCAGCCATCTGATGGTCTACAGAGTTGATTATAGGCCTGTTAAGCTAATCCATGTCTACATAACAATTAATATGATATTTAAAACCAAAAGAAAGACCTGACTGTAATAGGCTGATTTAGCTCTTACAGAATGCATCTTTAACCTTAGTGGAAAATGGTCATCGTCAGACTCCGTAAAGTCATTCACATAATTAAACACATACATCAAGTTTAAAGTGTGTTCCAACGACTCGACCAATCAGACTGAAGTCTATATTTAACCTCAGTAGAATATGTTTATTGGTGAATAGAAAGTGGCCACCTAGTTTCACACATCTAACACAAAAAGAATCGAAGTTGTCGAGCTCCAAAGTCTAATGGACGTGAAGAGTATTTAACTGACTGTAAATATAGTTCTGTTAGGTGTGGTCATTATAGAGACTCGTCTGTAATTTGTAAAGATAAGATTATATTAAAGTATTGTGGAGATATGAATATAGTTTATAATAATGATTCACATTTCGGTGATCCATATCCAAGGCATTGCTTCAATTAATTTACACGTTATGTACGAAATAGCTTCTTCTCACATTGTCTAGAATATCTTATATAGGTAACAAACTGTAGTAGTACTGTTGTATGTAAATTCAGGTTACAAAAAGAGAGAGAGAGAGGGAGAAATGGGGTTTAACGTCCTCATGACACAAACTAGGTCATTTCGGGACTAACATATGGTTTAATTTTATTTCAATAATTCGCTTGCGCGTAGGGATCTTTAGCAGTGGGAGGAAACCGGAGGACCCGGAGAAAACCCACGAGGTTGGACAGGCGACCCTACTCCTTGCCATGTACAACCGGGGATTCGAAACCACGCCAGTTGACTCAATGACAGGCTTTATGATACAGCACGCACGTGCTAACCATTCGGCCACCCAACCCCCTTCAGGTAACAAACTGCAGTGGTACTGTTGTATGTAAATATAGGTAACAAACTGTAGAACTACTGTTGTATGTAAATATATATAACGAACTGTAGTAGTACTGTTTTGTATAAATTTAGGTAACAAACTGCAGCGTGTTCAATCGGTTCGAATAATACACTAAATCGAGGTCCTGTGTACACATTGGCGTGCACGTAAAAGATCAGTTGGCAGTTGGAATTCGATATAAAAGTAGGCCAGAGTGCCGCTGTCCGGGCAAAATTCACTGATAGCATACTGTATGGCGTGTGCCCGTCTCCATTAGCCCAGTCGAAGCATAACAGTAAGAAGTTAAAACCCATTTCGTTTTAGGGAATTAAGTGCTTACCATACTTTATAGGTATACTACCGGTAATTGTTTCATGAGCCACATCCCCAAGCCACGTTGAATACCAAACTTAATTATAAGTTAGGATTATATATACATAATGGGTATCATTGAATTTAGTCAAGACAATCACCTAATGGATATCTACACCAAGTTTGAACATTCTAGTTTGAAATTCTACACCAAGTTTGAACATTTTACACCAAGTCTGAACATTCTACCTCGATTAATAGTAGGGTGGTTATGTTCTAAATTCTTGACCAATCCCATCGCTTACATTATCCTACTTAGCCTAAGTAGAAAATTCTCACCGAACTTAGTCAAGGTGTTAATGTATAGCCGAGGTACAGCCCTCTCACTCTTTCAGAATCGATGTTTCCTTGTTTCAAAGTCTGAACCTATCGAATTGCTTATATTTAGTTAACTTTAGTGGCAAATGGTCATCATCGGACTCCGTCAAGGTATGTTAATAACACAAACACCACGTCAAGACATTCACCTAATAAACGTCAACCCCAATAGGAACGTTTTTAAATTCCATAAATTTGACCAGCCAATCACATATCACCACTTAGTCTAAGCAGTCAAGGTATTGATGTAATGAAACTATAATCTGAGTTTCAGTCTCAACCAATCTAATTGCTTATCTGTGCTTAAAGATGCATTATGTAAGATTTATATAAAGAGCTGGACGTTCCTGCTATAATAGTTCAAAAATAAATAATGAAAAATGAATATATTGAAAATGTCATTCAAATTACTTAATTCTGAGCAAGTATGATTTAGTCTCGATGTTTAATTCCATTTAAATCTCAGCCATCTGATGGTCTATAGAGTTGATTATAGGCCTGTTAAGCTAATTCATGTCTACATAATAATTAATATGATATTTAAAACCAAAAGAAAGACCTGACTGTAATAGTCTGATTAAGCTCTTACAGAATGCATCTTTAACCTTAGTGGAAAATGGTCATCGTCAGACTCCGTCAAGTCATTCACATAATTAAACACATACATCAAGTTTAAAGTGTGTTCAAACGACTCGACCAATCAGACTGAAGTCTATATTTAACTTCAGTAGAATATGTTTATTGGTGAATAGAAAGTGTCCACCAAGTTTCACACATCTAACTTACAGTGAACACTTTCACCTCTCTCACTCAAACATAACGGAAGTTATCGAGCTCTACAGTCAAATTGCTTATTGCTCCAATTAAGCTGAACAGAACATGCCCATGATCGAACTTAGTCAACGTATTGATGTAATAAATCTATAGACCCGAGTTTTATCATTCTCACTTAATTAGAATTAAAGTTATCATCTCCCAAAGCATCAATCAATCATACTAATTGACCTAAGCAGAGTGTGATTTTTGATCGACATCAAGGCATTCACTTCATAAATATCTACACCATGTTTAAACAGTCTACCTCAATTAGAAGGGGGAGGAAGGCTGGCTCTGTACA